TGTATTTGATAACAAGCAGCAGAAACTGAAAAGGACTCATTTGGGGTGTCAGGACAATAGTGTTGCATGTAGATATTTGGCATTCTAGTTTTGGTTTATAGTTGGGAGATATCCTACTGCAAAGTTGAATTGGTTGCGTTTCATGATTGCCCTAACAACTTTTCCTATTTTATTTTTTGTTTTCTAAGAGAAAAGCTTAATTAAAATGTAACCTGTTGGCGATCATTTTCTCCTAATATCTTCTCAAGCATCTCCTAGCCATTCTTGAAATGTTCATGGCATTTGCTTTGATAGTGTACTTAGTAATGTAATTCAAATAATTCTTTGCATGCAGGTTTACAAGTACAGCAAGCACTGCAGAGTTTGTGACAAATGCGTAGACCAGTTTGATCATCACTGCAGGGTATACATGATCTTGATTGGTTGAATGTCCTTTTTGTGTGCCTTTTTAACTCCTCTAACTTCATTCAATTTTGATTTGTAGTGGCTTAACAACTGTATTGGCAAAAGGAATTACCGACAATTTTTCACCCTTATGGTTACTTCTCTCCTCTTGGTAAGCATACCCCTCCGTTCTTTGCCTTTTAAGATTCTTTAATAGCCCTTTGAGTTTTGCTCCAGTTCCAGGTAACCCGTGCCCTATAATCATCCCCCATGCACTCTAGCCTTTTCTTTAAAATCTTGATGAAGCTTTGCCAGTGATTCCATATGTCATCTATTACTTATGCAGTAGGGCCTTTGCTTTAGAACTTGTAGGACTCGTCCTTGGCAATATTGTTAATCAATTTCGTTTCGCCATTGGCTTTCCCCAACTGTTACCTCGACAGTCTTTCCTGGTTTCTTTATCCTATATTTTTTGTCATTAAGCCCAAAAGCAACAAACCGGAGCCTGAAGATCGCCTCAGAGTAAGCATTTTTATTTTCAAGTCACTTTCATTCCAATTAATTATTGACAGGTATGTACATGGTTTGTGCACCATGGTCTTGAGATTGCAGCTTATTTTACAATGGTCAACTGGAATCTTCGTGCTTATCTGCTGTATTATCGAGAGGAAGCAGTTCTCTGTGGATATTTCATCCAAGTTGGGAAGCAGTTTCACTTTGGTGCCTTTCATCATTGTGGTGGTGAGTCTTCAGCTATTGTCTTGATTTCTAATTTAGCTGCAAGTCCTAATCAACCTTCTGTAAATTCATGGCTTTTCTAGTCGAGCTGAGCGATTCCTACATCATGAGAATTAATTTATCTGTTTTGTGCTTGTATTATACAACTCATGAAATTCTTAAACTTTGCAGGCAGTGTGCAGCCTTTTGGCTATGGTTGCAACCCTTCCACTTGTACAGCTTTTCTTTTTTCATATCCTCCTTATAAAGAAGGTTAGCCTCGCAATTGCTTCATACATAGAATGAAGTTGTTAGAATCATCTGGGTCATTTTTATCATTACAGTTTCAGGATCCGTTTACATGGCTTCGATGTCTTTTTCTCTAGTAGTCATTAGTCACCTGTTTCACAGTTCAATAAAAGTTAGTTGTTATAGGACAATACTTTTCCATAGAATATCTGTCGGTTTCACCTCAATTTCTTGCCTAACAGTTTCCGTTGCAGAACCTCTCTTTTCCTTTTTCACGCAGCATATATGTTAGGTGAATACATAAATTGTTAATTAGCTAACAATGGTAATCTGAATTTGTGCAGGGAATCAGCACATATGATTACATCATCGCTTTGAGGGAGCAGGAGCAAGAGCAACAAGGAGTTGGAGGTCAGCAGAGTGCTCAAATGTCTCCTGCTAGCTCACTTACTGGATTAAGTAGTGCAAGCTCCTTTAATACTTTCCACCATGGCGCATGGTGTACACCTCCACGACTTTTCCTTGAAGATCAGGTAATCTGAATTGCAACCGTTTTGCTGCAGTAGAGAGTGCTTCCTAATCTGTGTTTATACTTGTTCCATCGGGTGGTTGTTTTCCAAGCTGTGGACTTTTCTAGAGTTTCTTCTCCTTAGCATCAGCATGAAAGAGAATACGTTGTGAGTTTTGGCCTGCATAATTTATATATGAAAGCCTTATATCTGGGGTCATTGCAGCTTGTGTGTATCTGAAGCATTTGGATGCGAAACTCATATAATTGCTTTTTCTGTAGTTCTGTTAAATTTAGTGTACTTTATTTTCACATTATCGACCAGAACGTATCCCTTTTCTTTTTGTAATGAATGATGCGCATATGGCAACACTCCACCAGTTTTTAGTGCTGCAAGTAGGAATAGACTGTAAATTCCAGCAGCTGCCCTGAAATTAGAATAAGGATCGTAAACGAAATAGGCTGATTATTTGTTTTGCTGTTTTCCCTTTTCCAGTTTGATGTTGTACCCCCAGAGACCGGATCTGTTAGTTCATACGGAAAAAAGATGGTGGGAGAGGGACCAGTTAAGAAGAAGAATGCACCAGTAAAGATAAGTCCGTGGACTCTGGCAAGATTAAACGCCGAAGAGGTATCAAAAGCTGCAGCAGAGGCAAGAAAGAAGTCCAAGATCCTGCAGCCTGTGAGACGGGATGCTGCTTTTGTACTAGAAAGAGACAGCAGCTTTGGCAGTGGTGGGCGCAGAATGGTTCCACGCCCTGACAATAATAGAAGGCGGGCTACTAAGCGGGTGCGACTCCCAGCTGATCTTCCCATGGAGGCTATAACGAAGGGTTCAGCTAAAGCCGTTGACAAGGGCTTTACTGAGACATCGACTAGTTTGGCCCCCCTTCAGCTTGAAGCTCGGAGTGCTTTCCAAACAAGCCGAGCTATGTCAAGCTCCACGGGGATTGTTGCTTCTTCTCCAGAGAGCAGTTTAGACTCACCTGACATCCATCCCTTCCGGGTGTCATCATCAGGAGCCGAAGAGGCAAGGCGGCTTACAGGTCTGCCTGGCGCTATTGCAGCTGGTCAGAGGGAAATACCACTATCAAGGTCAACCAGTGATGGTTATGAGGGGTATGAAGCATCGGGTGGAGAAGACAGCGACAGGGTTCCTACTAGAATCGTCCAAAGGTCAACAAACTGGAGTAACCTTCTCTTTGGCTCTGATCAGGATGAACGGGTTGTCAAACTGAACGCCTCCTCATCCACCGGCCCGGCTAACACAAGAAGGCACTGATCATCATCGACTGTGATTTTAATTTTAATTCTTTCATTTGTGAGGCCGGCAAGGATCCAGGCATGGCATGCCATGTATAGAAAATTTTCAAAGAGTTTGGTTTCAAACTTTTAACCGAGATGCACATACTTTTGTATTGTCTAATCTGATGAGAGCTTAATTGCAGCCACAGCCTCCGCTGGATTAACTCCTGCAAAAGATTTCCCAATTCATACAGGGCTTGTAGCCGGTAAGACAGTACCGGGATGGAATCGCTTTTGGAAGGTCTAAAAATGCTTTCAGAAGAGCTTTGATTATATATTTTGCTTCCGGATTTAATATTGTATTATATATTTTGCTTCCATGTTTTGTACTGACAGATGATTAATTTGATTCTTCATGTGCTTCTTAAATAAAAGTGCTTCTTAATTAAAAGTGCTTCCCCAAGTGCTTGCATCTTACTTAATGGAATTAAACAGATACAACAGAAGCAGAAACTAACTCATCATCCGCCATATCCAATTTCACATAATCCATCGGATTAGAAACTGCCTCACCACCACCACTACCTGCTGCCTTGCAGTACACTATGGTGATCGCCACCGCATAGTAGAGCAGCACCGCCAACAGCACAGCAGTTGCCCAACTCTTCCAAGCCACGGCTGCGGACACCGATGCCACTTCCAAAAGCCAGCTAAATAAACCCAAAATCGAACTCAAAGCCCCAGACAGCACCATCAAACACGACACAACGCCTCTGAGTCTCATTGCACAGACCAAACGCCAGCTTCGAATCAGGGCGCCAAATCCCCACTTGGATTCCACCACAACCACCGCAAATGCCAGGCTCCACATCACTTGAAGGTAGAGCAGCAGTGCAAAGAGGCCTGCCGTGGAGACGGCCCTGAAATAGGCCGACCAAGACTCCTCCATCACTCCAACCCCCAGAGACAGAAATAGTCCGAACGAAATAAAAATCGACAAGACCAGCATTTGCGAGACCACAAGAGTACCCAGAAGAGGAAAGAAGGAAGCCAGACCCGACTTGATCGCCGAGTACAGTGCCACAGGCCGATCATGGTGTCCGTGAAATGCCCTGTGGGTGATAGACCCGACAGTGCAGAGAGAGGAGATGAGGAGAAAAAGAAGGAAGGTGATGAAGGTCAAAACAGTCATGTCGGGGATGGTGGGAATGGTGAGACTTACTGAGAAGGGGTTGGGGTAGAAATCAAGGAAGGCCGGGTAGGCGATGGTTAATAGGAAGAAAGCAAGGGGGAGAAGGAAGATGGCCGAGAGGTCTAAGAAGCGGGCGGTGGGGGCGTTGATTAGGCTCAGAGATGTGCTCAGTACTTGGCTTGCCATGGCTGAATAAGGAAGAAACGGACTGTAAGGACAGTTTATGTAGTGACTACTCTCCTGGTTTCATACAAAAGCCAAAGGACCCGGAGGCTGGCACCGAGAGGTTGTGCATTTATCCGCGTTTCGCTGCATCCAAATATAAGGCCAAAATGCTGCCTTGTTAGACTCGCAATTTGGAAATTGGTTTTAAGGCCAAAGGCCAAAGCAATGATTTTTTAACAGTTAGTGCCTTTCACAGCATCCTAATCAAACAAACTACCAAAACCAGAGAACTCAAAGAAGACCCAGATTCAGCAAGGCGAGCTATGCACTTCGTATCAAGTTTATCATCGACGGAGCTAACTGCACAGGCAGCTTTTCCGTTGAAACAAAACGAGAGAATCATTACTTTCAGACATTACATATCACACATTCAAGTTGTTTTCTAATGGAGGTGCAACTGCAAGCACAATGGCTTCACTTCACATACCAATTCGAAAACAATAAAGCCAACCGTTTCCCACAATCATCAAAACACGAAAATAAGGCAACAAGATTTATATTTACAGGTCTTTACAAATAAAGTTCGACGCTGATGAACTAAACTACACTAATAAGACATTCTGAATCAGAGCCATCACAAAGGAGATTGACTGACCTCAAGCTCCTCGTCAAGCATATGCAACCGAAACAACATGAGGGACTTTTCCGTTGTCGAAGGGCAAGCTCACATACTCCCTAGCAAACTCCTCAGCAATTTCCATGGCAAGCTCACCATTCACAGCCCTGCAATACATATACAACACCGTATTCGCAGCAGCATTGTAGAGCATCAGCAGCACGAGAGAAGTCGCAGTCACCACAATTTGCACCACAAACGCCCAGCTCTTCCACCCATCAGTATCCCCCTTCAAATCCAATGCCGAAACCCAACTGCAGAACCCCAAAACCCCCACGAAAAACCCGAAAAACATCAGCAAGCACAAGGCCACCCCTCTCATTCCCTTTATCAAAGTCGCACTTCGAGTCAAGGATTCAAACCCCCATTTCGATTCCAGCACAACAACCACACCAGCAAGTGTCCAATTTACTTGAAGATGGAGCAAAACCAGAAACAGAGCAGTCACAACAACTGCTACAAACCCAATGAAATAAGGCGAATAGTATTCCATTTCAAATCCCATAAGCTCAGCACTGCGAACCACCAAGAACACGAACAGCCCGAAAAGAATAAAAACCAATAAAACGAGGATCTGGGAAATTAGAGCAGTACCCAACAGGGGAAGGAAGGAGGAGACGACGGATTTGACGGCGGAGACGAGCTTGACCGGCCGGCCATAGAATCCGTGAAACACACTGTAAGTGATCGACCCGAGGGCGCAGAGAGAGAAGACGACGGCGAAGAAGGAGAAAGCAAGGGCGACGAGAAGGGTTTTGGCGGGGATGATGGGTTCGCGCTGTTGGGCGTCCAAAGTTGAGATTTCGAGGAATAGCTTGGGGTTGTCTGTGACTCGATCGGCGAGAAGGTTCTGGATGGTGGGGTAAACGGTGGAGGAGAAAGCGAGAGGGAGGAGGAAGAGGACTGAGAGGGCTAAGAAGTGGCGGGAGTGGGCGTTGACTATGCGCTTGGATTCATTGAGGACTGTGAAAACGGTTAGAGGCGGAGATGGGGTTGCCATGGCGGATCGGAAGTGAAGAAGTTCGAAGGTTTTGGAATTGCAGGTTAAAGGAAGCAAAAGATGAAGAAGATGATGCTTTGTTTGTCCTTTTCAGTTTTCGGTGGTTCGGATAGGATGGGATTATTTCGATGAGTTCGGCGGGATTGGGACGGGCCTGGATACGTGGCTCAATTTTTTTGGGTTGGTCTTCGTCGGGACGCCGTTACTAGGTGAAACAAATTGGAAAAGGATTCTTGCCGGATCCTTTTCCTTGGGATCTAGAGGATCCATGGTTGTGACTGTTCATCGTATATCATGTGATCAGTTTTTGTTAGGTATTATTTATATTTAATTTTAAATTTCAAATGATTTCTGACTGCACGATGTACGATGAACGATCATGATCACAGGATCCCTCGGATCCCCAAGAAAATGATTCGACAAGGATTTTTTCCAAACAAATTGGGCTGCAACTCATTCTATCTCATATCAATCGGGCAATGTTATGTGAATAAAGTTAAAAAATTATGATTGGGAGACACTTATTTTCTTTACACATACTTTGACATTTACTTTGTAGGATGGACTTTGTAAACCTTTTTCATTGATCAAACCATCTATATTTCAATCATTACTCCTAGATCACCATTCAAAAAAAAAAAAATGACAAATCCAAAACTATTAACACATTCATTTGTAGTGAAGAAAATTGACGAATACGGTTTTGTAAAGAAAAACTAAAATGAGTAACTTTAATCCAATGGTTGTTTGATTTCGAATTTGGGTGATTTTTTGTAAACATGATCTTTGAAAGAGGACTAAGAGATAGACAATTCGAATTGTTGAAAAAAGTTATGAAGTGGGCCTTACAAAGAGGGTGTCAAAATGTATGTCAATAATTGCATGCCCCTCGATCCTAACCAAAAGTTATAACAATGTGATAGACTTAAGATAGCATAATTAAAAGCATTTGTTGCGCGTAAATTCCACTAATATATCGCCATCTAAATGAATCGAACATAAAAATTATCACTTATATGAAAAAAAAAAAATTATATATATATGTCACTAAATTACAGTATTAGTGGATAGCAATACAAAAGACTTAGATCTCTTGCTTAGGTGGTAGTTGCACCAAATGAGTGTTTAATTGGAAACCCATTATCATGCTACTTATAAAGAAAGGAATCTAGGATACCTTTCTTTCCATATGATTATTAAATCATTGATTCATAATGTATTAAGGAGATATGCATGCACTAAAGAAGTAGTACTAACCACATATTATAAAAGTCCACATATGCACATGTTAATGTTTGTTGCTAGGTGGGCAGATCACATGTTTTGGCCATACATCCATGTTCCAAATCAAGTGCTAACTCCTAGTTCGATTTTATAGCGCTGATGAATCACATATATGGTCAAGAAAAAACTAAAATACCTATGTGGGTTTTTCCAATTTTCGAAATGATGGACTGCCATGGCAAAATAATAATCTGGTAAAAAAAAAAAATGAAGTTGTAATTAGATTTATGCACAAGTGAGCAAATTAAAGGCTCATCTTAGGAAATGGATCATCTCCGGATATCTTCCACCAAGGCCATAAATTCGGACATTTGAAATTTGATCCAACAGCTAAAGTTATTATAACTTTTAAAATAGATTCCTATTTGTAGCCGTTTGTTCAAATTTCAAATGTCCGAATTTGTGACATTGATGAAATTGGTGAAAGGGATCTAGAAATGATCCCTTTCCCTCTTCTTACATCACTCTTGAAAATAGTGCCAAAACGAAACCTTAATTTACCAAATTGCACACAATTAATTTTATTTTTTCGTTATTATTTTTTCACTAAAACCAAATTTTCACAAATCCCTAGTATCCTCCGAGAAATAAACATTTAATAATCAACAACAAACCAAAGTAATTCCAAACGTCGCCGTCCAGAGTCGTCAGGAAGTGCAGCTGGCAGCTCCACCACAGTCTGATATAAAAGGCCGACGAACAAGTTAAACTCACCGACGTGCCCACTCGCAATTCCTTCTGTCATCGATTCAGTGCTTTAATTCCTCTTCACGCCCACAGTCAACACGCCTCGCACGATTCTCAATCAAATCCTCCATGATAGTCGGAGCCCCCTCCTCCTCCTCCTCCTCCGCGTATCCCGCCGCAGAACCTCCGCGAAACGCCTCTCCATCACCACCCCCAATGCTGCCTCCCAGCTTTCAAGGTACTGTACCGTCTGTATTCCGTGGCTTCTCTTATAAAAAGGAAGGAATCTAGGATACCTTTCCATATGATTCGTAATGTATTAAGGAGACATGCATGCATTACCTAAGCAGCACTTGCCACATCTTTAAAAGGTCCACATATGCACATGCTTCATTAAATGCTAATGTTTGTTGCTAGGTGGGGAGATCACATGTTTTGGTCACACCTACATGTTCCAAATCAAGTGCTAACTCCTTAGTTTGATTTTTGGTACTGTTGAATCGCATATGTGGTCAATAAAAAGCTAAAATGCTTATGTGAATTTTCTGATTTTCAGAAAAGTGGACTTTCGTGGCGAAACAACCATCTAATCCATTTTTTTAAAAAGAAAAAAAATATAAAGTCGTAACTAGTATATTTATGCACAAGTGAGCGAATTACAGGCTTGTCTTATAGAATGAGGATCCTCTCCTAATTCTGGAGATCTTCCAATCACGTTCGTTTATCATATATCGTGCGGTCAGAAATAATTGTAAATATTTTTATTCAAAATTGAATATAAACAGTACCTGACGAAAACTAACTGCACGATATATAATTAACGGATATGATTGAAAAAATTTTAAGATCCCCACAAAAAGAATCCGGAAAAGATCCTCATTCCGTCCTATAAACGTTTTTGTCACTTTTGAAAATAGTGCCAAACGAAACCTTAATATCAAATTGTACACAAGTAAATTTTTTTTTCATTATTATTTTTTCACTAAAACCATTTTTTCACAAATCCCTAGTATCCTCCGAGAAATAAACATTTTTCTCCTAAGCCATATAATAATCAACAAGAAGCAAGGTAATTCCAAACGTCGCCGTCCAGAGTCGTCAGGTAGTGCAGCTGGCATCTCCGCCACAATCCGATATAAAGCCCCGACGAACAAGTTAAAGTCACCGACGTGCCCACTCGCAATTCCTTCTGTCATCGATTCATTGCTTTAATTCTTCTTCACGCCCAAAGTCAACACGCCTCGCACGATTCTCAATCAAATCCTCCATGATAGTCGGAGCTCCCTCCTCTTCCTCCGCCTATCCCGCCGCAGAACCTCCGCGAAACGCCTCTCCATCGCCACCCCCAATGCTGCCTCCCAGCTTTCAAGGTACTGTACCGTCTGTATTCCGTGGCTTCTCAGATCTGTAGTGCCGGTAAAGCTTTTCGTGTGAATCTGGCTTCTGGGTTTCGCGTTTTGAGTTGAATCTAGCTCCGTTTGATCTTTAATTACAATCACATTTATATAGATATAGATATTAGATATATAGATATAGATATTGTAATTTTTGGTTGAATTGGTGTTGTGAGTGATTGATTTGAAGAAAAAAATGGAAGCTGAAAGTTCACCCAGAATGAGATTGGATCACTCGAAAAAAGAGGGATCCGAAGAACCCCATTTGCGTAGATTCGAGTTAGAACTCTCCGGTAACGATCACAGGTTTCATTCGATGAGTGCTCTGGAAATTTTGAGAGAAACTGTTAGAATTCTCCGGTACAATTCGTGGGGGTTTTTGGCGATTGCCTTGTTGCTAATCTGCCCGGTTTCCGCCCTGCTTTTGTCGAATTTGGTAGTTGATCAGTCACTTGTAAAGAGACTAACCATTAGGATGTTGTTAATTGCAAAGTCCAGTGGACTCCCTTTGAGGGATTTTATCAGTCACTCTTGCCAGAAGTTTGCTGAGATGGCTATTTCGTGTACGATGTGCTTCCCCTTGTACATCACATTGTCGTTGTTGTCAAAAGCCGCGGTGGTTTACTCTGTGTATTGTAGTTACTCCCTGAAGAAGTTTGATGCATCACAGTTTTACTTGGTTATGCGCAAGACATGGAGGCGGGTTGTTTCAACTTATGTGTGGATGTGTATGGTGGTTGCTGGTTGCGTCGTCTTGTTTTTGGTTCTTCTTCTTGCTGTGTGCAATGCATGTTCGATAGTAGGGTTGTCGCCGAATTATATTGTGTATGCTGCAATGGTGGTCGGGCTCGTCTTCTCGGTTGTTTTTGCCAATGCCGTTATTATTTGCAACATTGCTATTGTGATCTCTGTGTTGGAGGATGTCTCGGGACCAGAGGCATTGGTTCGGTCTGGGGTTCTGATCAAGGGCCAGACTCAGGTTGGTCTTCTGATATTTCTTGGTTCGAGTATTGGAATGGCATTCATCGAGGGATTGTTTGAGCATAGGGTGAAGGCTTTGAGCTACGGAGATGGGTCTTCGCGCATTTGGGAAGGGCCTCTTTTGGTGATCATGTATTCGTTTGTGGTGCTTATCGACTCCATGAACAGCGCGGTTTTCTATTTCAGTTGCAGATCTTTTAAGATGGAAACATCTTTGGATGGTGAATCTCATTCCGTTTTGGAAACGGTTAACTTTTCTTCTGAATCAGTTGGTATTCAATGACACCATCAACATAACCTATTTGTTACAATTATTTTGAAGATGGGAGCTGCTGCATGAAAAATTAGGATTTCGTTGCCAGTTTGTGGTCACGGGCTGTTAAACGGCGCAAACTTGTGCATCGTAGCCCTTCCTGGCAAGTGTTCACGGCCAGAGGTAAGCTCAAGTGCCTTCAGCTAGTTAGTATTTACTTCATTTGAGTGCAAAGATCGACTTGTTGAGGGAGCTAGGAGGATGAAGGATGAGGAAAAGATTTCTGAAGGCCACAAAGGAAAGCGTCGTTTTCTTCCAAGAATAAATTGATGAAATCCATAGTTCATATAGTTTTATTTTAAGATACATTATGCCAAAATAGTGTGGTTGATACATGTAAGTTACTCAAATTTGTCCACAATTTATGTGTTGAACTTCTACCCGAATTTGCTGAAAATCCAAGGGAGAACAAAAGCTTGAATCACACAAATTGAAATAAAGGTTCTATTTGGGAATGAATGCTTGTATATACATCACTTGTGCCTGTAAACGATTTTGATAGAAGTGCTTTTATTAGAAGCACAATAAAAATTTACTACAAATTCAAGTGTTTATCCAAAAGCATTTTTAGCCATCTGAAGAGCATCCCGAATGTTTATTCCAGTGCTTGTGGACAAATTTCAGGCTCGTATTTCATACGGCACGTCTTGGGTTCGATTCTTGACGCTAGTGAATTGCACGATGATGGCCAAGAAAGGCTGAAATGCTTATATGAGTCTTTCCAGTTCCGGAAGGGTACACGGGGAACACGGCTTGGTAAACAATCCCCCCCTTTATCTATGTTCACATATTTTTGGGCTTGGGCCTGGACCCCAATAAGCCAGTAAATATAATCCTGTCCATCATCGTTAGTTTGTAACTTTTCATTCCCTCCTTCTGCATCGTCGTTTACCTCCAGAGAGTCGGAGACCGACTTTCTGTGTGCAAAGCAGCAAGCGAGCTCTGCTAATCCAGTCTGATCCAGGGCTGATGGACATCTCCCGCAAAAACAAAATTCAGAAATTCGAGGATTTCGTGGACCAACGCCTCAAACCAGACCTCGTTCGCGCCATTGCTCAACGGTACCGTTTCATACACCCTCTCCCCACTACTTTACTGTAACCCATTTTCTAGGGTTTTCTTTGCGGACGTTACCAAGCTCGAGCAGTAAAATCACATGCTTGCGCTCCATTAGGGTTTCATATTTGCTTATCAAAGTGTTATTTTTTTTTTTTTGGGTGTGATTCTTGTTTTGCAGGGACAAGGTGTTCGAGCAACAAAAAGTTTTGTATCCTTTTCGATCTTCCCTCTTTTGATGAATTGAATTTTACCCGAATGGGATTTTTCGGAAATTCGACGTGGGTAATCTGCAACCCATTTGGTGATTTTGGTTGTTGAAGGTGTTTTCTTGACTTTTGTTTAATTGAAAGCTCGGATTTGCGGAAGAACATAGAGAATTTGGAGAAAAATAGTGCGACCAGTCTTAGGACCTTGGTTAATCTTGGCTCCGAAGTGTATATGCAAGCTGATGTGTGAGTCTTGGCATCTGTCTTCTCTTTTGATGCTCACACTAATTCATCTTATGCTTTGTGTACTTTCTCCGTGGAAGATACGCACAAATAGAACCGGTTACAAACTTTTGATGAAAATTAGAACCGAGATACTAACCGGAAATCAGCCGTATGTAAACCACATTTTTTTGCGACTTCGTAGCGTCCCTTATCTTTTTTCTGCGCGTTTGCAGGCCAGATACACGACGCGTATTTGTGGATATTGGACTAGGATTCCATGTGGAGTTCACCTGGTCTGAAGCTTTGAATTACATATCTCAAAGAGAAGAAAAGTTGGCCAGGTACAACCTTTTGCTTATTGTTGAACAAGTTGGTTTTTTCGACAGATTTTATCATTTGAAATCCTTTCGAAATCTACTAAATATTAGTGAAACTTATCCTACTAATTTGCTCAGTCGATATGTGTAGGCAAGTTGAAGAGTGTACTAACCTTATTGCGTCAATTAAAGCTCAGATAAAGCTGGTATGTAAACTTCCGAACATGCTTTCTATCTGCTCATCACATTTTGTTTCTCGGATATGTGTTGCAGAAAAGTTGAAATTGTTTGGTGCTCTCCCATTTATGTCATTTCGATAGAGTATATTTGCGTTTCTTTGTAGAAAGTAGAAGACCGAACCACTAGAAAAGGCAAATATGAAATTGTGACCAACGATTCAGCCTTCTATTTTTCCTCCCTTTGCACCTCTTATTGTCATATTCTTTGCAGGTATGCGAAGGGATTCGAGAGTTACTCCAGCTTCCGGCAGAGAAGAAACCTGCCTCGGAGCGCAATTTTTGACACCGACAACTTGGTAATTTTGCCGTCTCATGACGACCAAGTAAAAATAACACTTGTTTGCAACTACATCTTTAACTTTTTGATTAGTTGTTGGCATGCTTCTGTGCTGTTTCATATTTTAAAGCTTCTTGGCCATCAAGTATGTAAAAACAGATAAATGTTATGGTAAAATGTTGCGCATTTAAGCTTCCGCAGTTTCTTGAGCTTGAATTCACTTGGAAATATGTCCATTTCTCATGATCATTCTCACCCAACCCGCCTCCCTCCAAAGACTGAAAACACACTCACCGGGGGAGATATTGTTGGGTGAGTGTATGGGTGTGACAAGGACATGGTCCACCCATAGAAGAGCCTAATGAAACACCCCCACCCTCCTCCCACCCACCTCAAACGCGCACGCGCACACGCACACAAAAAAGTATTTTTTTTGTTAAGCAATCGCATGAGAGAAAAAAAGAGACGGAGTTGCAGGTTAAAGCTCAGAGACTTGAGGTGGCTCTCTGGAATGCCACCTGAATAAACGGGAGATGCCTTCTTCTGTCACCTCACCTCACCTCACCTCACCTCCAATCAAATTGATTTGATTTGATTTGGCCATGGAAAACTGTGATCAATTGTTATTTCAAAGCGACAGCAAATCGACGCTGGATTTGTGGACGGATTGATCAATTTGCACTACTTGTTTGTTTTGTGTGATGGGGCAAAACTTGAATGGAGTGTTCGATCACGTCATACAATTTTTACGGTCAAAGTTTTATCGAAGTTTTTTTGTTGTTATTAATTTTAGCAGTGTTGGCCTTATGATAAAATATTTGAGAGGAGTTTGAAAAATAAACCGTTTATTCAATAAACATTTATTACGTCATAAGTTAATAACAGTAGAATATATGTAATATGGAAGGACCGTTGGTGTAAAACCTGCAAAGTTGGGTTGCGGTGGTAAAAGCCATGCCTATGAAAGTTTCCATCACCGACAAAAGAAACCCTACCTACCCCTACATGGTAAAACTGTAGTATAGCATCCAAAGGCTACATCTATACGGCTCGAGACAGATCACATCACAAAGATGGACGTAAATTCTACCATTGCCGAATGTATGACGTGGTCAGGCACCTATATCTAATGTATTTAGATTATCTCCAATCTTTGTCTTAAAACCTAAAACTTTTAGCTTATAAATAATTTTTCTGTTCTAATCATTTTGACCTAAATTTTTTATCTTGAGATTATTAAAGAATAAATTTAAGCTAATTTTTTCTTTTAATGTAATTTAAAAAAAAATTATGTACACTATCATAATTTAATTTTATGAACATTTTAACCTAAAAATATTTAAATTTTGATAAATATTGAAAAATCACTAAATTTGGGTGAATATTGATTTAAATAATTTATTTATTTACTTTAGCTGTTAGATTTAAATTTGGGCCGTTAGATTTTTTTTTACCGTTAGATTTGATTATATTCGATATCAGCCATTGAATTTAATAAATATTAGGAGATATGCCCATGTGGGTGAGATCCTGCTGGTGGTGCCCACACTATTTTATATGCTAAATCCTGGGAGGGGGGGAATTTGACTTTTGTTTTGCTTTTATCTTTTAGTTCACACATTTAGTATGAATTGGGTTGGGTTGGATTTGAGAGGGGAATAAAGCCTATAAAATTACATTTAACCCAGAATTGGATTTGTTTTTACTATCCAGACTTATAGAGCTTTGATGAGAGTCGGGAGAGGTACAGAGAGGGGCTGGGCTGGGCTGCCAAAACTGACGCAGTGTTGTGTCCCAATCTATCTGTTTCTTCTCGTGGCAGTGCAGCATCTAAAATCTCTCGTCTCGCTCGTACATAAAACTAGTTCACTGTCTATCTGACGTTTTGGTTCAATAATGATGATAAACCCGTCATACTTCTTTGCATAAGAGAGGAAGAGAGAGAGAGGGAGAGAGGGAGAGAGAGAGAGAGAAGCGGAGAGTAGAAGAGAGAAATTAATGGTGGAAAAAAGCCAGGGTTTTGCAAAGCTGAAGAGACAGAAGGGGAAGTCCAAAGTCGGACTTTCTTGGCTCTTCGTTGTCTTCTTCATCTCTCTCTAGAATTATTCATGGCTGGCAATGGCATTGCTTTTGCTTCAGATTCTGACTGAATGATACCATTCATTTGGGGGGGGGACCATAGATACGTATACATACATAAATATATAATATATATACATGAAAGTGCTTCTTCTTTCGTTTAAGTGCTTTTTCACTTTTGCTTTCTATTCTTCTTGCCGTCGGCATAGTTTTGCATAGTTTGCATGCATGGTAATGTAAATTAGTAATTACACTGAAAACGCCATGTCACAAGTGCTCTTCAATACCCTCAATTTATGTACACGTCTCTCCCTTTCCGCTCCCCTTTTGCCCCCAATCTTAATCCGAGATCCTCTCACTCTTTTGTCATCTCTTATGCCTATCTCCCATCTCACGCACGAAATATAGTTTTGTAACAATGCTAACGATTATACTCTGTTCTCAGGTGTATATTATATAGTTTTGTAACAATGCTAACGATTGTGCTCTGTCCCCAGGTGTATATTGCCCGTGGGCAGTTGCACACAAGATTTATTCACGATAATGAACTAATTAATGAAAAAAATAGATGAGACCCCAATATATTTTGGTTCAACTATTTAAGGTGTCTTTTTTGCTAAACCAATATTCTTTTTTAAAGTACTCTAATTTGTAGAGAGGAGAATTCAAACTCTTGTACTAGTCAACTGATCTAACTCACATTTGCCGCTTAAATCTGGTAATTTTGGTTGATGTTTGTAGCTAAAATGTTTACATGTGTATGTTGAGAACTGCATATAAAATTCATCTAGGAAAACCATATTTGCCATGAGTTTGGCATGCAGATTAATCATGAATCATGATTCGTAGTTTACTTAGCATAAGAAACTCGGCTGTTCTTCTGCTACATTGGCCTAACCACCTCTGTGGCCTTAACTATAATTAACCTAATGAATTAACTGAAACTCAGCAGTAAAACATGAGTTTCTTAACATTCTCACTAAGTTTTGGTAGAGCCATTTCCTTCGGAGGGCCGGCTCTGGAGAGCGTAGAACCACTTCTTGTATACGTTGTGGATTCTGATCTCTCAAGGTAAAGCCTGCCTCGGTACGCCGCCAAGTGAGCGTAGTAAGCTGGGGGCACCAGCGAAACCGGCTTCGTGCACCTTGCGTACGTGTAGCACAGAATGTTAACCAGCTTCTGCAGTTCATCTGAGGTGAACTCGTTTTCATCCCGCAAAATGTGGTAATGAGTTGGCCTGCTTGTTCCCTTAACTCCCCAATGACTGCAAAGATAGAAGTCAAATTCTTTCGGGTGAGTGATCACGGTATCCACAACGGTTCCAGGGGGAATGTTTTCATCGAGTAATTGATTCTGCTTCGAAGATGGATCAATTTTGAAAGGGAACAGCCTTGTGTGATGCCTCTTCTGAACCACTGCAAATGTTATGGGAGGCGCATAACCGGGAAGCTTAGAACATGCCCTTTTAATGGATTGCAGCTCCTCTTGAAGCACTTTGTAGAATTGCGTTTCGCTTACCCCGTCTCTGAAGAAAATGATTCTCTTGGGGAGTTTGCCAACTTCCTGGCAAAACTCATTCAATAATTCTTCCACCATTGCGTCGAGATCCTGGATGATTTCTTGTCGATGTGTCTGAGATCTCATTCTCGAAACATACTTGTTTGCCGCTGGCCAATTCATGCTACCAACCACAGCAGCAACAGAAGGACTAAAGTCATCGAGTGGATGTGGATGGGTCACATCTGCGCCCATGAAGATCACTGGCTCATCAGCAAGCAGCAGCCGCGGGATTTGAGATGGTAATGAATTGTACAAGGAAACCGTGCATCCTCCAACTTTAGCATTGATCTTAAGAGCTAGGTTTGCCAAAAACTGCGAACCCAACTTCCCGAGGTTTGAGTACAAGCAGCATTGGCTTAAAACCCCAACGCTTGTGTCCGCAATTCGCTTGAGATCTCCGTAGCCTTTGTGCTTTCTTTCCATTACACATATAAGCAGCTGGAGATTGTTTGATGCAGCTCTTTGGATTCTTTTGAGCTTAGATTCTAACAGCGACACATTGTTAAGCACTTGGGATGGTTCGAATTGGGGGCTAACAATCGTGTTCTTGTTGAGGAAGATTCCCAGTTGTTCACATCTTTGAGATAGCTGGCGTATGAATTTCGGGATGCTGTTCTTCTGATCAGGGGTGCCACCGAAACTAATCAATGCCCACCTCTCGATTCGAGTACCTTCAAACACATGGCTGTCCATAAGATTCCACTGCCGGTCAAGACGAGAGGGAATTAGGTCTCTTATATGACCACCATCACCAAGCTTTAGCTTCGGAGGTTGAAGAACTCTTCCTTTTAATTGCGTCATGTCTCTCGAAACATGGAGCTTGAATTCTCTTTCCTGAATGCCACTGCAAGAGGACAAAAAAATGAAATGAACATCAACAAATAATCAGACAGTAAACTGAAACACTTCTTAGAATTGAGAGATTACCTTGTTGGCCCAACAGGACCTCTCATAACTCCATCTATAATGGCTTTTCGTTCTTTCGGTCGTTGGCAGGCCATCTTAAGTATCCTTGCAGTCTGATCATCAGACAGCTTCCCGAGGAACTTCTGGCCTTCACAGATCATACATAGCTCCATCGGAAGATAGCACGGTTTACTCCTACTAATCTGCAAACAAGGCAAATTCCTGAATTGTACATCATAGTTATAGTGATCCTTAAAGTAAGTCAACAGCCTCAAATTCTTCCCATCCCTGTCTGCAAACCAAAGATTTTCAGTGGCTTCCTCGGTTAAGCCAAAAACGCGGTATCTCTGAACAGTTTCTCGGTGGCAAACAAAGACCCTGATGTTCTGCAATGCCTTCTCCACTTCTTTCCTTTCTTTCTCAGTTAAACCCCTTGTCTTCCTTTGAGGAAGGTCTTGAAGAAACTCGAGGCGCTTCTGTAAGTATGGGATCACTCCAACGCTTTCGTGGAATGCAGTCACGGAGAAATCAACATTGAGAGCTAGTCCTTGTTGCGTTGGTCGAAGGCTCTGGAAGAACCCTCTCAGTCCTACAGCCCCTCCTCCAATTTCTTTACTTCCACCCATTGAACTCGAGTAGAGTGATCTTCCCACAGGTACACACTTCTGCAATGGCGCCTCCCTCAAGAGGACATCCAAGGCGTGGAGATAATCCTGAGGAAGCGGCTTCCATTCATCACCCCGATTGTTCAAGTAACTACTCAATTCCTTCGCATCTAGCTTTGACACGAGTTTGATATTGACCCGAAAAAGTTTATGTTCTTGATGCTTCTCTTGTAAGTCATTGAATGCCCCATATGGCAATGTTGGCTTGCTTGCGGGGATGGGGAGGCTTACATAGAATTCAAGCCTATCGTCTCGGAATTCAACGGCGCTGTAAAGATTCTTCCGGCCATCATAAGCCGGAATTGCACCGGATAGCACAGCCGAGTTATCCTCCATCAGCTTCTGTTTGATCATTCTAGCAACTTCCTTCGAGGGGTTAGGGGAAATGTCGACATTGTAATGGAAAATTTGCTGCGATGAATCAAATTGGACAAGAAAATGGTTAGCCAAGAGGGAGATTACAGTCCCTTCCACACCACCAGAATCTGGCCTCCTTGCAGTCACTATTGCTTTTCCTGCAGCTGTGAGCAACTTCCTTCCATCTTCTCCTATAAATGGTGAACTGGTTTGTTTTTGATACCCCTCTGTAGCTTCTGATTAATAGTAAATATCAAGATTAATAAAAATTTTAAGGAATTTAAAGCCTAAAATCAACCATTTTTATTGAAATTAATGCTTCTGAACAGGTAACATATATCATATTTTCAACAATTACCCTTCTCAATGCAGATAAATTTCTATCCATCTCTATAGCAGAAAGTAAATTACTGTGAGAACAAGAACCAAATATGTGAAACTGAAGGTAAAATATAAAAACCAGAACTTTGAAACACAGAGAGAAAAAATGACATGCAACGAAAGGGGAACTAGCTAAAAAAAGCAGAGGGCTTTGAGGCTTACTTGGTGAAATTGTGAGTTGGGGCACCTGGGTTTCGGAGGAGGCGGCAAAAGGAGGAGTATTGAGCCTGCATGAAGGTTTCTGGAGGTGGGTTTTTGATCGGAAGTGGTGGTTTGGAGGCAGCGGTGGAGTTAGAGCGAGTTGCAGAGGGAGGAGAGGAGGGAGAGGAAGAAGAGCTGGGTAGGAGGAGGAGTATCTCTGATAATACTGGTTCTGGTTGCAGAAACCGAACTGGTTTGCGTGGTGGATTAGTTGTTGGTGGTGGTGGTGGTGGTGGTGGTGGTTCTGAGGATTGGCTCTGGTGCCGCCCCTCAGGGTTCTGGTCTTGGGGTGGCATTTCTGGTTGCCATTGGAGTTTTCTGTGTCTTCCATGGCTTGATTGAGAGGGAAAACAGGAGTGAGAAAGGCGTGGAGGCTGTGAGCATGAGAGATAGGATGGCTTCTGTTTTGTGATATGAGTGAGAAGGAAGATGACTGAGCAGTAAGCAGGAGTGTGTAGTTATATAGCAGACAGAGTGAGAGGGGAAGAGGAAAGAGAGTTTGGGTTTTAGTTCCGGAGTCTTGTAAGGTTCTTTATGTCGAGAGGGTTTTGATTCCGGTAAGTTTAGTTTGAAAGGGAAAAGTAGGACTGATGCCTAAGAAAAGGTAAAAAGACTTGTCAATCTATTTGGACTTATTAAAGCAGTCTCTGCAGAGAGAGAGAGAGAGAGAGAGAGAGAGAGAGAGTGTGTGTGTGTGTGTATCTTAGGGTAGAGTAAAAATTGGGTCGAGTTAATTGGTTAGGGCAGCTTTCAATTTTGAAATTAAAAATTGAAAAATAAGTTCAGTATCTTATTACGAATGACGTGACAAGACTGTTCTATTAAAGATTTTATCATATTTGAAGGAAAAAACTTTGGTTGAATTACTTCATTAAACGTTCGTACATTACATACACTGATATACAACATTTTTTAACCTTTGTAAAAGATGCTTTAAGAATAACGTGATCGGATTTTTCACTCATGTTTTTTATACATATGTACCTATTCATCGTACCAATAATATAGTATTATATATTAAATTCTTATTACATTACATTATATAACAGTGATGAAACGCTACACCGTCATGCTTTTCTATTTTAGGGTATTCTCATTCAAACACCTTTTTGGTTTATTGACTACCTTTCAAAAACATGGGTTCTTCTACCTTAGATTTTTTCCTTGAAAATGTTTGGAAGTCAAATGAGGAGGGAAAGGTTTGGCCTTTTAAACAAAATTATAATTGTTGGTGGTAATTATTAGGGTTCTTCTTATCCTTTTACACTATTTTTTTAATTCATCTTTTGTACTTTGCTAGTTCTATTTCTACAAATTCACAATGTTTGACTGGCTATTTTCTCCTTTTGTTTAAGGCATCATTGTCTTTGTAAACGGTTAATCTGGATCTTCTGGGGCCATTTTTATGCGACCTTCAAGTGTTAGTCAAGGTTGAAAAGTTAAGAGAACAAATAAAATACATAGACTCTTAGAGGATTGTCCACATAAGATTGATGACATCTTAGATTAAGGGGAAAAAAGAAAAAAAAAACCTAAAACACTTATTTTATTCTATCGCTCTTTTGAATATCGATATTGCTTCTTTTTTAGGATTAGTTTGAAATTGCTGTGTTTTTTTTTTCCAAAACTACTTTTTCAAACCTACTTTAATTTTTTGTTATTTTAAATCCATGATTTTGATTTTTTTTTTTTTTTTTGCATTTACCAAACACAATCTTGCCCCAACTTTTTGAAAAGATGTTTTTTTAAAAAAAAAAAAAATTAAATTAAATAATGCCGAACCAACTCTTAATTATTTGTGCATTAAACTGATTATTTTATAATATCTTTTTTTTTTCACTCGAAAAATTAAAAGAGTATAAGAGATTGAAAAAGAAGCGTTTAGATCATCAATTTTCTTTTATTTTCAATACCCACATGATGAAGGGCTTAAACAAATTTGTATTTCTTTGTCCATTTAACATTGTTGAACATTTTTCCATTCGTATTTCCACTTTTATTACTACCTGCTGCCCCCCTTTTGCAGCATCTTTTGTAAACACGATTAGTGCTAGTGTGATGATAAGATCATAAGAAGGGGAGAGATGTTTTAATGAGCGGTCAACATGGTTTGGTACACGAAGTGTTACAATATAAATTGTTGAATTTTTTTTTTTTTCAAGAATCCAACCATGAAAAATGCTAAGGGAACTCTCTCAAAAGTGAGATTCTATAGAGTCTTTACTGTCTCATGTTTTTGCCATAATGTTTTATAATATTGACATGAGAATATGAGGTGGTAGTTTTTGCCATAATGTTTTATAATGTTGACATGAGAATATGAGGTGGCAGAGAGTTTATGGAGAGTCTCACTTTAAGAGAGTCCCCTGAACATTTTTCATCCAACTATTTGTATTATAACACTTTATGTATCATACTATATTCTCGACATACTAAAAAATTTCTCTAATAAAGGGTCCATTGATGCACTTAGGAAAGTGAGCTCCTTTGTATTTTAAGGATAAACATAATTGGAATGTGGTGACGGGACAATATAATTAGTGTGGAGCCTATAAAGATTTAACTTACCTTTCAAGATTTAGGACCACATAATATCCATTGTCCATAGCTTCTACTATTTTTCTATTTTTTTGGCCATATAGTCTCCATTGTTTTGGTTTGTACAATATGAATGATATTTACATGGGCTTTTAAGTCAAAAAGTCTTGCGTACAACTAAAATTTCTTATGACACTCATCACGTGAAAAGAATGATAACATGTCAGACGTCATTACTCAAGTTTTTCTTCTTATCACGTTTCTTTAACGGTGTCAATATCATCGATGCCCGTGATGACAATTTGGAAAAGGAAAGGAAGAAACGAGGAAACATAAAATGGAGACAAAAGATCAAATCCCCCCACTGTAACAATTGAAGTCAATTCAAGCAACAAGACTATGTAGTTGACTTAAGATTGATAAGTTTGATTAGCAGAAACTAATGTCTATGTTTTATAATTCATGTGCTCGTAATTGCGTCATATAAGATTATATATTACCAGCACTCCAATATTATATAGATTTTTTTTTTTTTTTGGGACAAGTAAAATCCATTATTATATAGATGAATATATGAATGTTGCAGAGATGAAATATGAATTCGAGACTTTTGATCTCCATCCGTTGCTTTTGCTTTCATCATGATGTCTTTGAGATTCATAAAAAGATGACTCTCGATTAATCAATACATCGGGAATGATAAAATTATTTACCTTGGCTGGTAAAATACGACTCTTGATTTGTTAAAGTGATCATTCTATTAAAAAAATAATAATTAGCAGTAATGATCATTTTTTTGTTGCAAAAATAATTAGATGTCGTTATAATATCGTTGGGTCGTCGTATATCATTAATATGTTATCGCTATTAAAAAATTGATCATTTCTAAAATCAAAATGTCAAAAAGTGAGTGTTCCTACCAAGTGCCCAATAAACAATTAAGGCTTTTTAATTAAAATGATTTATGAGATTAGCATAACTCCTCACTTTGGGATATGAGGTTTGAAATCGATAGAAGTAGTTATTCTTGTATTTCCATGAATTTTTGTTGTTAAATAAGAATCTAAATAACAATAATACTCTGAATTTAATAAATAATGTGTCAAAATAATTTAACAAAAATTGTGTCGTTTTTTTTCTCGCCCAATATAGAATTTTCATAGGATGATCAAAATGATTGATAATGGACAAACTCAGCGACCATTTCTATTAATTTCAAATCTCGGTTATGCCAAGCTCGAAGACAAAAGAGTCAAAAATTAATTCGAATTAAGCCACTTAATCAAAACAGTGTTCGTCTTTTGAACCTATATTCAATTCTTACTTTTACAATATAAAAAAAATTTAAAATATCGGCATGTAAAATACAAGTAACAACGGATGAAAAACTCAAAATCTTAAACATTTAAATGTAAGATTTTAGAAACTTTGGTGTCAAATTTTAAAATTTTCAACACGTTTTTGTTGCACCAAGTTAAAAGTAAGAAAGTTGTAATATATTGCAGTCAAAAACAATTATGAAGACACCGCGTTTCAGTGGGCGGCAAGAAGACCTGTTCAGTGATGTCAAATTATGCACTTCAACACGTACATGCAAATGGGAAGAGGCCACCAGTATAGTTTAAGACCAAATTAGAAAACTCACTTTTAAAATAATAAATTATTGTTCAAATTCGTGTACTTGAAGACAACATAGAATTTGTCAAATGTGCGACTAATCTTACGGGATAGTTACGGGATGTGAGTGGCCGGTCACCTGACGGTATTGTGCCGAGCACCCGCTACTCACATTTTGCAACTATCCCGCATTGGACAAATCCTTTAGAACTTTGAACAATGAAATGCATATTATGTTAAGTCAAACTAATTTGAAATGAATCCATCACTGCATATGTAGTATATTGAAATTAAAATTTGAATGAAAACTTTTGACAATCTGCTATCAAAAGGGGAAGAATCAGACTTTTTAATCGAAAAGTAGATTAGGAAACATTTCTTTTTTCCTAAAATTTAGCTCAGGAGCATGACTTAGACCAAAGAAGGGCACTAATGATGATTTACCTTTGTGAATGGTTTAAACCATGAGGTACGTTGCAGCATTCGACACTGTGTTTGTCAACTCTCCGGGATAACTAATCTCGATTAGAGCGGACTAATCACAGTTTGACATGTCTAGTTTGGGAGAAAAGTAGAGATTACGGAGCAATAAGACGAAGGAAAACCAATCTGAGGCACGTTTAAAGAAACTGGTATCAAGAACACGTCTAAATAGCTCAGATCGTTGAACACGCCAATTCACAGATGGATATGCATGGATACACAGGACGAGAGCAAACACATCGATCGGGATGGAAGAGATCTTTTCGGGACATTTTGTATTGCAGAGGGAAAAGAATAAAGCTATCAAATGAAATGAAAATGAGAGGAAGATAACGCGTAGAGGCTTGTACTACTATAACACCATTGTACATCGTAAAGACATTCACGAGCATACCTCACACCTACGCTTGACGAGCAGAAGATAAAAGAGGACTGCGGAGTCTGTCATTGCTCCCAGAATAGTTGATAGGCATCAAAGCAGGGTCCTGATAGACCGTGACCAACTTATCGAGAAATTCAGGCATTGTAGGATCGTTCTCATCTTGCCTGTCCTTTCGTATCAAACTCTGGAACAAAAAAGAAAGTAGGTCAAGCCAAATATTATAGGTGAGAAGTTGTGTGTAAGTATAGTAATTGTGTGAGATTAAACATACCTCGGCAGGGTAAGCAACGAAATTTGGAAGGAAGCGCTTCCGGCAGTACTCATTGAAGAGAAGTGTGAATACAGGAAGAGGGAAAATTAATGTCGATGCTAGATTGACCTTCTTGATTGTAAAGATTCCCACTGCAATAGCATGCATAAGGACCAGAGAGAATATCATTGAGTTATGCACGATCGGCCAAAACTTCCCTGCAGTTTCAAACCTAGGAGCATATACGTTTATGAACTGCACAACGATTTTTGCCGAGTATCAATACGCTACATTCAAATCAAATCCTCTAACTTGTGAATTGAAATCTACTGACCTGGTTGCGAAAGATGATGAATCCAAGACAGAGGTACACTAAGAGGAAGGGAAGAATCAGTGGAGCTAGAAAGAAGTATGT